GATCACCTGGCCTATAGCCCATAACTCTAAACAGTGGTTATCTGTTCAGTTCCTGATTGAAAATTTTTTCCAGAATCAGACTTTGAAAATATTAATGTATTTTGTTTTTTTTGATGATTAGTAAATGTGTTAACCCTTTCAGCCAACTTTTATAGCTAACTCTTCCCTTCTAACATATTCAACCTTTCTCAAAAGGCCATTTCCCATTTTTTGAAATACTTTGTCTTTCACTGCCCCCTCCCCACAAAAACCAGATTCATATTCTTTCTCAAGTCAAAGTCAAACCACATGAAAGAGAAATTTATACTAATTTCATTTCTTTATCACATTCCACTTCAATCTGGCTTCTGGATGTATTATTCCAACAGAATAGTTTTTGTTAAGGTAACTGAAGACCATCTTGGTACTAAATCCAGTGATTACTCAGGCCTTATTTTATGTAACTTCTCAACAGCATAGGTCACTACTCACAACTCCTTCCCTGAAGCATTTATGCCTTTGTCCTCCACTGTACACCCTTCTGAGATCTCAACTCTTCCTCCAGCTCGCCTTCCTCTACCTGGCTAAAAACTAATTCAGTTCTTTACTGCACACTTCTAGGCTGTCTTCCAAGTCTATTTCACGTACTCATATGTATACTCAAGACTTTATAACTTCTCCCTACACATTTAAGTATTTTTCAGTCTAGTTTCCCTTCTCAGCTCCAGAGTTCAATCTAAAAACTCAGTAAGTCCTAAATTAAATTTATTTCTCCACACCTACCCATCTCCAAGCTTACTATATATCTCAAATGGGTGTCATTGTTAAGCTCTGTCCCTTGTCCTAACCCTGAATCGAACAAATCCTGTGGATTATCTCCTTCCTTAGCTATACTTTCCATTTCCATAATTTTACTACAGTCTTAGTTATTTCTAATCATTAAGCCTCTTAATTAATTTAAGAATATTTTATCTACTTTGATGTGCCGCTATACCTTTCTTAGAATTTATAGTTAAATTCTTCAATTTGCAAATTCCATCTTCATCACCCAATTCCAAGTCCTTCAAAGGTTCCCCCTTGTTCCAAGGGAAAAATCTAGGTCTTTCTCCTGGCTTTTGGGCCTGAATGGCCTGGCCCCTATGCAGCTTCATCTCCTTCAGTGCTCTCTTCCACTAGTACCAAAGGTATGGTGATGAAGTAACTTATCATTTAAACAAGGACATCTCTTCAAGGGGATCTTCAAGTAAAAAAGGTTGACTTAAGACAAAGTAGAATGTAAGCTGACATCATTTCTGACTCCAGAATTTTTGTCAAATCTCTTCACTTCCCTTTTACCTAATTCTTACCGGTTCTTCACTTTTCAAATCATGTCACTTCCTTTGGGGAGACTTTTCTGACTAGGGTTCTACATTATGAATTCTCACAGCACTACATGCTCCTTCATACTTTATTTATTTATTTATTTTTTGCTTAGGATTTTGTAGTGTGATCGTTTCCTGAACTAGCCTTTAGCTATTGAAAATGCCTGTTTTTGCTCTATTATAATCCCCTGCCCCAGCAGAATGTCTGGTATACAATTAATTAAGTGAATGTCAATATAGTGCACTGGGGACACAAAGAGTCTGTGTTCAAGGAGCTCATGATGTTTAAAAACAAATGTTCTATTACAATGACATGCTGCATTTACAGAATACACAACTTGATGTGCTAAAAGGGACATCAAGAGAAAAGCTGCCTAACATGTTTCATAGGGTGTCAGTACAATTATGTCATGGCACTCAACAGTTCGTGAAGATTTAAACAAACCTGCAAGAGACTGATTCATAAGACAGATGGACTATATCCATTTACAATGAGAGCGATATCTTTCCAATGACCTGAGGAAAGTGTGGTTGGAGTGTAGAGTGTGCTGAAAATGATGGGGGGAGATGCTGGACTCAAACTGTGAAAAGACTAAGTAATTAAAGTATTATGTATGCAAATATATGTGGCATATTGAAATATATGTATTTAAAGCAGGGGATCAATTTCAGAAGATTTCAAGTCTGAAGGCAGCCTACAGTATGAACTGAAAAGATGTAAAGAAAATAAGGCCTATTTAAATAAAATATTGGGGATTAAGAATAAAAACTGAAGACAACAATAGATGAGGTAAAATGGACAATAAATAAAGGATCTGAAGAAGGAATGATAATAGCACTAATATACTAATTTGATACTTTGAGGTTAGCTTTTTTCTTACTCTGTCTGCACACTTTTTGTATCCACTTAAACACCTATTACATTTTATACAGTGTCTCTTATTTAACTTGTGGTGACTCATGTATACATTAGTACAAATGCACAAATACAGTGGCTATAAACAAGGCAAATGAGCTGTTGGTGGTTATCGGAACACTCTAGGAAATTTTTCCCAACAATACCTAGGACCTAGAAATTTTGCATATCAGAAGAGGGCAGGAATGTAAGTGTCAGGCACATGTAGTTAGGAAAAAAATTCCTAGATGACTGTCTCTTGTCCCCTGCCCAACACTGAGAACCAGAGCTCCTCAGTTTCTTCTACAAATTTTGTGATTAAGAAAATATGTACAGTAAATTTTCACTATAAGGTGACTTGGAACTTTGTGGGTTCAATTTGTAGAGGACTTTGTAAACTTAAGTATCATATTTGGAAGCCTTTCTATTTGGCAAGGAAACAGAATGGGGGATGATGTAGGATGAGATTCTAGGGTATTTTAATCCTGATTGTTTTAGCAGTTTCTATATGCAAAATCCTCTGTGTCACAAGAACATAATTATGGAATTAAAATCCTATCTTGGCATCCAAACATTAACAGAAAAGCACACATCACTGTCTTTGTTACAAATCTACATCTAAGGGTATCTACCTATTGGTAAGTACTCCTAGTAGAGCATACCAGAATTAAAGACTCACAAACCGCTGTCCTAGGTTTTATAAAATATTCTTTTGAAAGAATATCAAATTTCTCCAGTAGAAAATCAGATAGTAATAAAGACCTCCTGATTGATGTTAATTTTCAGGGACTTTTACAAGTCATGTGTGGAGATTAGCAGTCATTCTAAAATTCCATGCTGGTGTCACCCCAATAAACTTAATAAAAATAAAAAATAAATAAAATTCTGTGGAGTCAAATTAGCGTTTTACCAGATATATAATCCTCCAAGCATAACGCATATGTATATATGCGACATATCACATTTAAATGGTAAATCAGTAGTTTAGAAAGGTTTGACATGTGCTTTCAGAAAACATACAGATTATGCCCATACAGTAATGATAAAAATGTAGCATCGTTTTATTTGAATACTTTATCTGATTAATACTTCTGATTACAAAATTCTTTATCTGCCATGGTTATTGCTTTTCTGGGGATTTTATTTTTCACTTACCACTTTAGTAACCTGAGAAAGAAATCAACAGGAGGTACAAAAAGTTCCTATCATTAGGTACCTTTACCACATTTTAAAAACATAATACTAAAAATCAGCACTTTGTTCCTACTTTTAGGGACTTCAGGGATGGAATTGTTCCTCACAACCCAGCAGTATAGCTATCTGATAACTAGAGGGAAAGGAAAGAAAAAAAAAAAAAGAGGATGAATACAGATCATTTTGCAAAGTATAGTAGTTTCATTCTGTTGCATTATTTGTTGATCACAGACATACATTCCTGAGTAGACCATGTGTACCTGTTTGCTTTTCCCTATGTCCTAAGGTGAAGATATCCTTGCATGTAACAAACACATATTTGGAATTATGTTTTGAGATCTTTCTTGAAAACTTTGAACCAAATTTTTATAAAATTTGGTTATTTCTCACATGCTGAAAACATTACTTTGGAATGCGGTTACCACATTCAAACTCATCTGACTTGGAAGGTGGGCCTTTACATCAAATCAAATAACTAAAAAATGGGATTAGAAAATTTCAAAAATTTCGAGTGATTCAAGATTATATGGATCAGAAAAATAAGTATAAGAGATTTTTTAACTAAAAAATGCTTTCAAAAGCAGTGAAGCAGGACATCACCATGGCTTGAAAAGACAGTATTTCCTTTGACACCTCTAAAGGATTTTGTCTGAGGCCTGTTATGAAAGAAACTGTCAACTAAATTGCAGCCCCTTAAACTGAGAGTTACTAATGTCCTTCGAATTGCTGTTTTGTTGCGATTCTGCATCGCATGCTCCACCCCGCTCTCCAGGTAAGGAACCTAGAAAGGTTGTAAAAGTCTTTTTCTGTTTTGTTTTGTTTTTTTCCTGAACCAGGCCTGCGCTGCCCACAATTGAGTTTAAAAAAAAAAAAAAGCGGCACAGGATGTCAACAAGTAGGTCTCTATTTTTCTCTTCTTCTCAGGTGCTGCCCCGCCCACACGGTGCATTAAGCCCCCAAGAGAGCCTCTGTTACTTGTCACCTCTCCGTAAGAGGCAGGAGGTGACCACAGCTACCCAACAGTGAGTTTCCCAGGCAGCCCGGTGTGACGCAGCAGGCCCCTCCCCACCACGTCCAGACGGCACTCAGACCCGGGCGAGGTCTGGGCGACAGGACCTCACTCGGCCCCTCCAACTAATCCAGTGTGCCCCTTCCGCGGCTACCCATACCCCGTCATATTCTTCAGCATTTCCCCACCTCCCTGCCTCCCCGGTCCTTCTCAGTCTCTCAGCCTCGTGATCCTTGCGCAACCATCCAGAATAATGTTCATACCCGCACGGAGCGAGCCTGCAGCTCCCACTTCCCGGAACACAACTCAGAGCCGCTAAGGGAGAGTGCCCAACCAGGGATCAGCGGCCCACAGCTTTGGTCAGAGCCCTGAGGCCTCCGCGTAGTGGGCGTGCGCGCCCCCATCAGCGCGCGTGCGCGCACTCGCACGCCGCCCGTTTTCAGTACCAATCGTTTTCTTTCTCCGCCCAACAACTGCACAAATCTACCCCTCCCACCGCCCGCGTTCTAGTTGGAGGGGTTCAGCGTGCTCGCGCCCGCTCGCCCGCCAGCCAGCCTCGCGCTGAGTGGGGAAGGGGAGTGAGCCGAGGAGCTTACGTCGCGCGGGAGGCGGAGGCGACGGCGACCTCGGTGGCTGTAGCGGTGGAGGCGGCTACGACCGAGACGGTTGCGCTTGTTCTCTCGGCGTCATGGCGGCTGCTGGGAGCCGATAAGCGGCGGGAGCGCGCGCGTGGCCGCTGGGGCGACGACGACTGCCGATCACTTCTTGATCTTGCTGCCCTCTCCGTTGGTGCTTCAATAATGAATTGATTGTTGGATCAGCTCCGTAGGGGATCGCGCTTGGTGCCGCCGGCCGGGGCTCCCCTTTTGCTCTGCGTCCTTCCCCTTCCCCCTCCCCTTCACGGACTCCTGCTAACCCCCAGGCACCCGGAGCCTGAGGACTCACTCGGCTGAGGAGACCGCGGGCCGGGCGCAGCGGAGGCCGCCGATCCGAGTCGGCTTCCTCCGCCCCGCGAATCGTGCACGCTAGCCGGTAAGAAAGGGGGCGGCGGGCGGGTCAGGATGGGGTGGGCAAGACGGGAACCGGCTAGGCGGTGGGTGGAGGCGGCGCGGTGGCCGGGCGGCGGCCGAGCGGCTGGACTCCGGGCGAAGGCCAGGGCGGCTTGCGGCGGCCGGCGGACGGGCTCGGCGCGCAGGGGGCGTGTTTGTGGTGAGCGCAGGCCGGCGCCGCGAAGCGCATCCTCGGGCCGGACGGGCAGGCAGCTTGGCGGTGGCTCTCGGGCCTCCTTGGCACGGGCTTGGCGGGGCCACGAGGGGAAAGCTGCGAGGTTCAAGCATTGAGCTTTTGGCTGGTGTGTCGGTCTCACAGCTACCCGGGCTCCCTGCACGTGGGGAGCAGCGGGGAGGGGGAGGGGGCGGTGGCCCAGGCGAGCCTGGGAGGGCGCGGGGCGGGTCTGCGAGAAGTTTGAGGCGGGAAGAAGGGCTCCGGGACCAGGATGGAGGCATTCGGAGGCCCGCGGGCGGGGGCGGGGTAGGGTGGTTCGCTTAGGGTGAGAGGTTGATAGCGGCGGAGTTGCAGTGGAGAGAAGAGGGAGGGTTTTCGGTCTCCTTTACTAGCTCGAAAACTTAGCGGAAGCAAAGCAACTGTTAAAAGACGGAACACCGAAGAGGATTGAAGAGGTTTCACGACTTAGGGAAGAGTCATTGTTAAGACGTTTGAAAGACTGGAGATAGGTGCATGTGCTTGCATCTTCAGAACTTGTGGTTGTGAAAAGGGCCTCAGAAAGAGGACTTACTCGGGGAAGGAAGATGAGGGGGGAGGGAAGGAAGTTACAATGTACAGAGAAAGCCATTTTGAGGGGCGAAAGGAAGGTGAAAGGGAAGGAACGAAAAGGAGTGAACTTTCTCTACGTAGAGGGCCTTCTCGGGAAGGAGGCAGTTTGTTAAAGTACCTAGATTTTTAACACTTTAATAGTAAAGCTCTTTGACTAGTTAGGATGAATAGTTAACATAAGGAATCAATGTTGCAGGGAATAGTTACTTTTTGGATAACCAGTTCTTGCAAAGTGTACCGGACTGTAGTCTCTGGAGAATGAAAATCTTGATCTAGATGCAGAGTTTGCTTGATCTAGATTGAGTTGGCAACGGTTTATCCGCCCCCCCGTTGTGTGTGTGTGTGTGTGTGTGTGTGTGTGTGTGTGTGTAGTGGAAATCATCGTAGGAGTGAATTGTCTTTGCTGAGGTCGAAGGACAGCTCCGCTCTCAGTCGGCTGTCTCGGTACTTTCTGGCTGGGGAAGGATCTGACGTCTCCTTCCCCCGCTTCTTCCTCTCCCTCCCCTGCCAGAGATCTCCTTTGTTTATTCGTGGATGGCTTGTAGGTGATTCTCCAGTGCTGTGCTGGTATCTTGAAAGGTAGAAATGCTGTGTCTTGAGCCATGATTCTTTTGCCCCAAATCATAGTATATATTTTATTACCTTTTTTAAAAAATGGAATCTCTGCAAGTCCAAAATGAATAAATATTTTTTCAGTCCACTGTCGGTTTACTTGGGAAAGAACATATTTATTTTTTAACACATACATTTTGAGATTATATGATACACTTTTATTCTGGTTTTATGTGAGCATTTTCAGAATTTTCCCTCACTCAAGTATATGAAGTCCCTGATGATAGGCATTAGAGTTCTATTAAGGGTAACCTTTCCCCCCCTTTATTTGTGTCACCAGGTACTTAATAAGACTACATTTTCTATTCTTGGGATATATGTATATGTTACATACCACCACTTTGCTTTAGTTATCTATTACATGTATTTATAGATTACTACACAGTTGTAATTAGACTAAAAGTTTTATCACTCCACAAATATTTTAATTTCTTCTGTCAAAAATAAGCAGTGGTGTGCTAAATTATAATAAGTAGTCAGGAATGTAGTTAATAGAAGCCTAGGTATTTTAAGTGAAGACCTCTATCCCTTCCTTATGCCCTCTGATCTTGTTTGTGGCTTAGATTAGTTTAAGTGCTTTGTAGACTTTTTAATTTTTTTCTCCTCAGGAAATTATCTTACTTTCTTTGTGTATATTTTAGGTGAATCAAAAAGGCTCCAGGAGACCTGTTAATGTTGAAGAAAACTCATCTGAATTTTTGATATTCAAGGAGTCAGTATTTATATTCATCTTTTAAACTGGGAAGATTTATATTTCATTTCAAAACTTGTTGATATTTACAATGAATGGACATAGTGATGAAGAAAGTGTTAGAAACAGTAGTGGAGAATCAAGGTAAGCACTTACTATCAAGTATTTATGAAGAGAATTGAAAATTTTGTGATTCTTTTAGTTTTCCCGATAGGTGACACAATTTTCAGATTCATATTCTCTTATCTATCCAAATAGTAAAAAGTAAAAAGTTTCTAATATCTGAAGCTTTGTTGGTCATAGATTTTAATTATTTTTTTCCTTTGAGCTATACAAAATGGAATTTATAGAAAATTGTCTTAAATCTCTTTGGCTGTTTATACTGTTTGGGTTAATAGAGCTAGAGTAAGTAAAAAAGGAGGCATTAAAATTATCTCCAAATGAAAACAATAAGAATGTCTATACTCACCTTTTTTCTGGGATTTTTGTCTTCTCTACCTGTACTGTCCAATATATAGTAGTAGCCACTAGCCATGTGTAGCTATTTAAATTTGACTTAATTAAAATTACAAGATATTCAAAATTTAGTTACTCATTCACACTAGACACATTTCCACTGCTAAATAGTCTCTTGTGGCTAGTGGCTACCACAATGGACAGTACAGACAGAAAACATTTCTATCACTGCAGAAAGTTACTATAGACATTGCTGATCTGGGCATTTGTTAGAAGTATTACAGCAGGAACCCCCCCCCCCCCCCCCCATTTTCTTTCACATTTGAGTTTTAATTATGTTTACACAAGTTAAAGGTTCTTACTTGGGCAGTGTCTTTGCAAAGAAGATACAGTTTATGTAAGCTATTTTAATGTGTAAGAAATCTTTTGAAATACAAAGTCCTTAAATTCTTTTGTAGACTTCAGAGTTTGAGTTACCTGCACATTACTAATAAAATCCATGTAGTTATTATACAGCTATCATATGTGGAGATGAGGAATATGACATTGGAATCAGAATGCCTGATTACTTATCCCAGTTCTACTAATTAGCCGTGTGAATAAGGGCAAATTATTTAACTTCTGAGACTTTGATTTTTGCACTTATAAAATGGGGATTACAGTATTATTTATATTATTTAAAGTTCAGGATTGAAATGCTACACATAAAGGGCTTAAAGTAGTTCATGATATAATGCGTACTCATTATTTGCTTATTATAATTGGCATATTTTATGTAACATAGGATACTACACAACTGAAACATTAATTACAGTGATAGATAGGAAACAGGAAAGTTTTGGCTTTTAGGAGAATTTCAGAAAAAATGCTTCATACACAATGAGGCAGTTTGTGTTTGTAGCCATGCTGGCTATTCTTTAAGTTTATCGGCTTTTATAGGCAGACTGGATAATAAAAGCATCCTAGTGAAAAAGGAGCAGTTATGGAAAGCAGCATGGTTTAGTTGAACAAGTACAGATTCAGGAGTTACAAAACCTGAGTCGACCCCATCTTTTTACTCACTGGTTCTCTGAATAATTTCATTACTGTGAGTGATTTTGAAGTTTCATGTTACCACTTAATTTACAAAGTGTAATAATGTTTTAGACAACAGACTAGAATCATCAGAGTTGAGAGGCTACCTAACAAGACCTGAATCTCAGCTTGATTCAGTCTCTGCAGGTATATGGACTGTAGTAAGTGAGTAGGAAAATTACATTGTCCACATTGTCTTACTCATTAGTGAGCGGTGAGATAGTTAATAGGTAAAAATATCTAGAGGAAGCATAGGAACCATGCTACCCACAGAAGAAGAATGGGATTCTTGAGAGCAAGAGATCATCTTCTATTATATTCTGATCTGTTTTAGTAATTTTTTATATATTTTGCCATATCTAAAGCAAAAGGAAGTACAGGAGTAAGTGAAATTTGATAGTATAGGTAAAAAAAAAAACACACCCAGAAATTAATTTAATCTTTTACAATGCATACTTAAATAATTGCAAACCATATCCCCCAGTTATTCTGAGTCATTATTTCACCCATACAAGTTTTATGTCCTGAGAAATGTGATCTAGTTCTTAAAACTGCCTTGGTGTTTATCAGAAGGAAGACTTCTACTTTACTTTCATTTTCTTCCTGACTGCTGTTTTGCTATCCTTTTCCTTTGCTCTGCTGTCATTGTTATGAACTCTGAGGTCCCTACACCCCTGCCCCACTGCAGCCTCCACTGTTGCCCAGTCTTTCATAACAAGGCAGTACAGAGAAGGGATATTATACTATTTTTTTTAAGTGTGGTAAACTTTATAGATATAGGAATTTTCTTGTAAAAAAAACAAGTTACCTATGAATATTAATACAGAGTGATAAGTGAAGAAACATTCTGTTTGGAAAATGTATATACATTGTAAATTTGCTTTTTATTGGCTAGAATTTTTAAATGTATTTTTGCTTTAGATTTTCTTTTTTTCTTTGTGGGAATTTATGAAATGAAATAGAATTAAGAAAGGACGGCCATTTGGCATTTAAACTTGGTATAATTAGCTTTCTACTAAAAAATATTATGATTCTTTTCACGTAGAAAGTTCTCTAACCATTGTCAGAAAGGAAAAATACATGCAGGAAATTGTCTCTGGCCATGCTGTAACTGTCAATTTAGAAAGTTATTTACTAAGAAATGTGGGTCAGGATGCACCTGTACACCAGTTTCAGCTCAGCATAAAGTTTATTATATCATTGAACTCAAGTTTTCTAAAGATAGTATTGGAAGACTTGAAAGCATCAGTTCCAACCTGTGTGAATATATGTTGTTATTTGCAACCAAGTTTTACTAATCCTATTTAGACAGTTTTTAATTTTTAAGTTAACTTGAATGATGATGTACTTCAGAAATAGATTTATGGGTAAAGACCAGAAATATATCGTCATGTTCTCCTGATTTTTGAATGATTGATATACATGCTTAATACTCAGAAGAAACTCTGTTTGCCTGTAGATTAAATTTTTAATAAAATACGTTTGTCCATGTAAATTTGAGAATTTGTTTGAATAACTATAATTACTATATATATTTCACTCTTGAAAGTTCTTATAGAGTGAAAAAACTTGTTGGTGATGTGTGATAATGTTAGTCATTTAGAATTAATGTATAGCTGGTAATTGAGATTCGTTGCCCTGATTCTTAGAATTCTTTTCATTTTATTTCATTACAACTTTTTATGGTATTAACAATGCTTGATTTAATTTATTTATATATATGTTTTAAATATGTGCATGTGTAAAGTTTATATTTACTTAGAGGAATGCTAATATTGTGCTTACATTCCCTTGGCTTATATAAAATATTTTAATTATTGTTTTAGGCTTCAAGAATCTTTAGAAATACAAAATCTGAACCTTTAAAGTAATTTAGGGTAGGCAGTTAGTAGGAAATAGGATCAATGGAGATGTTCTAAATGATAATCTCCTTTATAGAAATTCAATCTTTAAGATTTTGTAATGGCTTTGAGAAGTCCAACAGTCTAAATTACTTGTTAAGTTTAAGGAACACCAAGTCAAAGTTAAATTGAACATAGGATACATTTTTCACCGTCTGTTTCAAACTTGGATATATTACATTTGCTCTGTGGTACACAGTTTTATGTTGAATATTACTATGGTACACCAATTTTGGTAATGCTGCATTTGTGTATACACATACTAGAAAGATTTCTTGCCATCAGAATTAGTTTCTTTCACTAAATGAATTTGAACAATTTTTAAAGGTACAGTGCCAATTAAAATGTTTCCTGAGCTTGCTTTGCAGTTACCTCAGAGTATTAAAAAAAAGTTCATTCTTAAGTTTCAAAAACTTGTGCTAAGAAGTTTTGAGGAAGATAGAAAAATGTGAAATTTCAAAGGTAGCATGGCTAGAAATCATTGAAATAAAACTAATGTTTAAAATTTCCTGTGATGTTAATTGCAGGAAAATGTGACTCTTTTTCATCTGATGTTTTGTTAATTTCTATTTTCTCAGTTTAGATGCTTTCTGCTTCTCATGTTAATTTTTTTATTTCATCAAATATCTTTATGCTCCTGAATCTAAGATCATCTTCTAACATCATTTCTTAGGCTTTCAAAACTCAAACTGTTAAGCAGGAGCTTAAGTAATAGGTTACTCTCTCTCAAAGTAGAATTTACTAAATTAAAAATTTCACAGAATTTCCTAGGATTGTGGTTAATCTGGGTCTGTAGAGTATTCAGACTTTCAATCAGTATGGATAAAATTGTATGTGACTTGACTCTCAAAGACATTACTTTTATCTCTATAGGCATGAGATAATGTGGACAAACATTAATGTGTAGTTGCCTCATATTAATGTTGCCTAAGTGGTTGCTTATTTAAGATCTTGATCATTGGTGGGTCACATCTTTAAACACAGTTCTGTGTTTAAAAATAAGAGTATTTCCTCATTGTCAAAAGATAAAAAATAGATGGAGAAAACATTTTGTTCTACATTTTTTATGGAAATTTTTTAAACATACAGAAATACAATAGTTGCAGCTCCAGTTGTCCTTGGACCAGCAGCATTGGCATCACCTAGGAGCTTGTTTGAAATATACAACTTTGGGCCCCGCTTCAGACTAACCAAATCAGAATCTTTTTCAATGGATTCCCAAGTGATTTCTTTTCATATTAAATATATATGCATATATGTGAAGCTCTTTGCCTGGAGTCATTAAGCACCTTGCCACATTTTCTTTTATTGTTGTTATTGATGCTGTTTTTGTACATGCTTTTTATTTTCTGGGAACCCCATTAAAAAAAACAGTATCATAGGCCATGCCAGCAAGAGGCTGGGTATCCTTTCTCAAGAAACAGTAATAATGGCAACCAGTAATTACTGAGTTCTTATTTTGAGCCAGGCATAATACATACAGTGCATTACATGAATTTCTCACATTTCACCTTCACAAAACTCCTGTTATGTTGCAGTATTAATGATTCCCATTTGCCAGAGGGGAAACCTAATTTATAGCCATATTTTAAAATCTTTTTGGAAAAACCATTAACTAAATTCTAGATTTGACTTTGGAATTCATTGGTTTTTTTCATTGATTTGCTCTTTTCTGTTCCAGGATTTAATCAAGAGTACCATGTTGTATTTACT